TGTGGATGAAATGAGTCAGGTAATTCATCATTTTGCTGCTACTAGGTTCAGGGTTTTTGTCCAGTTTTCTACAACTCATAGCTACAAAATGTTCTTCTCTTGCTGATGTCCATCGGTACAAAAAAAATGAGAAAAACTGTTTTCCATGTGTGTTTATGTGTAGCGCAAAACCATTAAAACTTGCAAAGCACTTCTGTTTCAGGTGATGAACGTGACCTTTACAGGGCAGTCATTTTGGACATTATCAGTCCATTTATGGTTTTCCTCACCTTCAACCAGGAGCCACACTTTGATAATTCTGCCCACCAACATCTGAGTATCGCAAGTGTTTAAATTTGTAATTAAACTGACAGCTTGTTTGCTGGCAGGATTTATTAGCACTGCTTGGGGACAAGTCCAACAGTGAAATAGCGGGATCTGCGTCATATGCTGTGCTGACCAAATCTGCTTAACCTACTTTTTATTGGCACAAAATGTCTTGGGTTTGAACTTGGTTATGATAGTTGTAGTTGCTGTTTATCAAGTTCTCAGTGCGGGCATTTAAAACAACAACAACAATATGTTATAAGAAATGCTTTTAGATGTAGTTTATCTCTTTGGAACAGGATAAGATGTGTTGTTTTGTGCAGTTAATAAAATCCTTAACATCTAAGCTTCAGCTGTGTTAGAGTTGTTGGTAGCTCAGCGGAGAAAACTTCAGTCAGTGCTTGAAAGAACTGTGCAAGAAAATGGAGCAAATGGGAAAAAATGCTTCACACATATGGAGGGTATTCAGGATGGAAAGGCTGAAACATCACTAGAGGTAACATTCATTTCTGGGTTTTATTGGTTTCTTTTATAAGCTTTTTTTATTTGAGGTGCACAAAATTTCCATCATCTACATCTGTGAAGCTTAGGAAGCAAAAACGAAAGCATGATTGATTTACTTAATGTAAAAACCAAAAAGTATACTGTAACAAAGTCATAATTTTTGTATGCATTTTCATTCAGCTACCAACAACTCTAACACAATGCATTTTTTTTCAGAGAGGAGCTGTTAAAGGCTCTGAAGAAAGAGCTTCCAAATGACTGGGCTACTACAGCAACAGTTATTAGAGAGACATGTAGGAAGGTACTTGTGTCATCTGGACAGAGAATGGATGATAAGGAAACATGGTGGTGGAATAGTGAAGTGCAGGAAGCTATTCAAAGAAAGACATTAGCCAAGAAAAAATATGACAGTGAGAGGACTGAAGACAGGAGACAGGAATGTAAGGAGATGGGATGTAGAGCAAAGAGGGAGGTGGCAAAGGCAAAGCAGAAGGCATATGATTAGTTGTTTGGGAGACTGGACACTAAAGAGGGTGAGAAAGACTTGTACTGATTGGCGAGACAGAGGGATCAGGCTGGAAAGGATGTGCAGCAGGTTAGGCTTGTTAAAGATAGGAATGGTAATGTTCTAACAAGTGAGAAGAGTGTGATGGGAAGATGGAAGGAGTACTTTGAGGAGCTAATGAATGAGGAGAATGAAAGAGAAAGAAGAGTAGAGGTCATAGAAACTGTGAACCAGGAAGTGGGAAAGATTAGTGAGGGTGAAGTTCGGAAAGCTTTAAAAAGAATTAAGGAGAAAACAGTAGGACCTGATGACATACCATTGGAGGTTTGGAAATGTCTTGGAGAGATGGCAGTGAGGTTTTTGACTCAAATATTCAACAATATATTTAGGGTGAGAAAATGCCTAAGGAATGGAGAAGAAGTGTCTGGTGTCCATTTTTAAGAACAATACACTTTGTTAAGAGCAAGGGTGATGTACAGAGTTGTAGCAACTACAGGGGAATTAAGTTAATGAGACACACAATGAAGATCTGGGAGAGAGTTGTGGAAGCAAGACTTAGACGATAGGTGACTGTTTGTGAGCAGCAGTTTGGTTTCATGCCAAGAAAGAGCACCACAGATGTCATCTTTGATTCTGATGGAGAAGTACAGAGAGGGTCAGAAAGAATTTCATTATGTCTTTGTAGTTTTAGAAAAAGCATATGACAGGGTGCCGCAGGAGGAGGTGTGGTATTTCATGAGGAAATCTGGAGTGACAGAGAAGTATGTTAGACTGGTACAGGACATGTATGAGGACAGCAGGACAGTGGTGAGATGTGCTGTAGGAGTGACAGATAGCTTCAAGGTGGAGGTGGGAGTGCATCGAGGATCAGCTCTGAGCCCCTTCTTGTTTGCTCTGGTGATGGACTGACTAACAGATTAGGTCAGGCAGGAATCCACATGGACTATGATGTTTGCAGATGACATTGTGATCTGTGGTGAGAACAGAGAACAGGTGGAAGAGAACTTAGAGAGGTGGAGGTATGCACTTAAAAGAAGAGGAATGAAAGTCAGTCGTAGTAAGACAGAGTACATGTGTGTGAATGAGAGGGAGGCCGGTGGAACAGTGAGGCTACAGGGAGCAGAGGTCACAAAGGTGCAGGACTTCAAGTACTTGGGGTCCACTGTCTTGGAAAATGGGGAGTGTGGTAAAGAGGTGAAAAAGAGAGTCCAGGCAGGATGGAGTAGATGGAGAAAAGTTTCAGGAGTGATTTGCAACAAAAGGGTGTCAGCAAAGGTCAAAGGAAAAGTTTACGAGACAGTTGTGAGACCAGCTACAGTATGTTTTACGGTCTGGAGAAGGTGACATTGTTAAAAAAAACAAAAAAAAAAACAGGAGAAAGAACTGTAAGTTACAGAAATTAAGATGTTATGGTTCTCTTTAGGAGTGACAAGGATGGATAAGATTAGGAATGAGATCATCAGAGGTACCAAATAGTGTAAAAAGTGACCTCAAAGCTCCATACTCCTGCAGCACTATCCCAATAAAAACCTTGGGGGACAAACAGTCATAATCATTTTCTAGATTCACAAAGTGTATGTACTGATAGTCAATCTTTTATGAACCATTTGGCATGATTAGGACCATTGTTGCAGCCTTCTGCTCCACACCCATCATGGTCCTCCAGCAACGTTGAACACGTACTGTACGTCAACATTGATTGCCCCACAGTGTTCATAGCCTCCATTTGCTTTCTCCTATAATCAGGAAGATTTTGACTCCTGAAGTAACTTCTGCCAGGACAATGAACTCGTGTTCTCCAGGTTCTTAGGCTCCTCCTTCTCAGATCAGAACATGTGACTGAACTAAGGGGAACTTCAACCATGTCATCGCTCCAGGTCAGCAGCTCTGAGCCCTGCTCTCTTTAAATGAGGTGCTGAATGACTTGGCAGAACATTTTGGAGACCAACTGAAAGCCTTTCTCCTTGGCCTCTCCAAAGTCCTCCCTAACCCAAGTTTTAGCTTCTGAGACTTGCTCTTTTCACCAGTTGGTACCCATCAGCTGCAGCAGAAGGCCCCTCTTCAACTTTTTTAGTCTCAGAATTTCTACTAGCAGTTTCTTCAATTGTCTCCATGACAAGTATACTACCTGACCACAGATCCTAAGAGCTGCACCTGCAATAAAGGTTTTGACTCTGGGTCGTTTGGATCTCACATCCTTAAGCTTACCCAGGACATGTGAAAAAAAATATCTCTTGGAAATCTGAGCTGAACTTCTCACAAACATGGAGGTTCACCAAATAGACCTCACCTGCAGTCCTCAGGTGCAGGAATCCTCAAAGGCATGTTTTACTTAGCTTTACTTACTTTTGGAGAGCTGCTTTTATCTTGCCATTTGACAATATGTGATTATTCACTTCGTGTTCATCTGTTAGAACAACTTGCTGACAGTTTTCACTTTCTGCCTCTTTCTTTATTGAACTTTAACACCACTATCAGTTTTCACAAAGGGCTTTGCTTCTGGTATTTGACCTGTTTTTTAAAAAGCCATAATCTAACATCAGAGACTGATAAACACCACTGCATGATAATGGGCCCATTTAAGTTTGAAACCAAATGACTTGGAGAAGATAATTTATTTAATTTACAACAAAGGAAGGGCTGCCGAAGGAATTAATATTACAAACAAAAATGGCATAATAATTGAAATAATCAAAATAAGTTGAACAGGAAATATTCATCAAGGTACAAGGTTTTGATTTCATTTGTTAAATCTGAAGAGTCATAAAAGAGTTACAGTATTTAAAGACTTGGCTTTATTTTCCCTATTTTTGTTTATGTATTGAACAGCATCATCATATCTGCAGAAATGGGGAGATGATTCAATTTTTCAATTTGTTCCTCATAACTTTTTCTAAGCAGCTCTCCTTTAAACCCCCCCACCCCCCAAAAGGTTCAAGCACTTCAGGATGTGTTCGGCATGTCAAGCAGTTTATACGTTTCCATCGGACGATTCAGTGACGGACTGTATCACAGCGAGTGATGCACCTGCCAGTGTGTGCTCAGATTCATAGTCAGCGCTGTGCGAGTCACAAACAGCACGTGCGGGTGAAAGACCAGAGCTGGCAGAGAAAGTGAAGGCAACGCAGCAACAAAACAAGGAGGATTTGGAAACCGAAGGGGCCCCTGCTTCCCTTTAAAACACAGTCTGACGAGAAAGTTAATAGGTCTCTTGAGTGCTGTTAATTTTTAACAGTTTCTCATGCAAAATACATGAGCAAAGGTAACACTGTGTGTGGAAATGTTCCCATTTAACAAAACTGTTTCCTTTTAACAAGCATTAACATGTTACCTTGACGTAAGCACTAATGATGGCTCGGTTAGCCGTTCTCGAGTCGAGGGTCTGTTAACACCAAGATCAAAAGCTGAAATTTCACACAAATAAGTTAAACTCAGTATTTTTTGATGCTTCTTTGAATAAAATAAACCAAAAATGCTGTTTAAATGTTGACATTGCTGTTTTTCTTCTTGTCAGATTTCACATCTTTGCCCACCTGTGAGTCATATCACTCCGTCCACACAGGTTATATGGAGGAGCTGACGAGTGCGATGGCCATCTTGGACCTGCAGGCTTTTATACCGACAGTTCTGCATTACTGTTCCCTCCTCAGCACACTGTCAGACCTGAACATCTAACCACTCCTTCTCCTCCCTCTCCCCTATCCCTTCCTCCCTCCTCTTTGGCATCCTTCATCCCTGGGCCCACCATGGGAGGATGCTTCTCTAAACCCAAGCCAGGTGAGTAACATGCTTTGACTAAGCTGCAGAAGGACTGGTGTAGTTTCATTGTGCTCATAGGTGAAAGAGGAGGTGAAACAAAATCATCACCTCGTACCGGCTAGATTTTGAAATAATAACGAGAAAATCTTCCAGTGTGATTCACTGCAATACAACAAAATATAATCTGTAATAACTGTTCAAATACAATCAAAAAGGTATTATGCTGTTGGGGAGGACAGCAGGTGTTATTATTATTTTTTCTGTTTAAGTGAATGATAGTTAAAAAGGAATAAATATCTTGGTACAATTCGATGAAGGATTGCACTGCTAAACAGAAATAAAAGATTAGCCTAGCTTCAGTTTAATTCACCATGTCAGTTTAGTTATATAGCACATAAAAACAACAGAACTGACTAAAGTGCATTTTACAATTCAGTCAAATGAAGATGTAGAACAACAATAAAACACAAAAAAAATCTTAAAGACCATCAGAAAGAGGGACGTGTGCCTCAAACTGTGCTGCCAACCAAACAGCGTTAATAATGTAGTTTGCTCAGGTTTTGTGCATATGTTTAGAAGAAAATCTGCTCATGTTAATGTAATTTACTGCCAGGACAATAATAATAATAATCATTATAATAAATTATTCTAAAAACTTACAGTCTTTGTGAGATTTAGTTGGTTAGAAAATTTTTGTTATATTTTGATAGCTGGTGATAATTGCAACATAAGCAGAAAGAAATTGAGAAAAAATAACACTCTGCTGCCCGGGTGCTTTCACAAAAGGAGTAAATTCATTTTAGGAAATGTATAATTTATCCTCTGTTCAAGTTATGAGTTTCAACAGTTGTCACAAAGGATATTTGTTATCTACAAAAAACCAAGTTGTTTTACATGGATGATAACCCAGGTGCAAAGGACCTCCTCCAGGTGTGGTACAGGGTGTGGTACTTTGAAAACAAAGCCAATAAGGCTCAGAAAAGCAAACACAACTTTGTGACATATAGTTATGAAGCGCTGTAAACAGATCCATTTAAAACTGGTCTGACACGACTAGTTTAACAAGTACTTTTGACATTTTGTCAATCATGTCTTTGGGGAACAATAAATAGATAATACATTATTATTTATTTAATATATTGTTATGAAACGTTATTATTTGTTTAACCAAAAACCAGCACTTATTTTTATAGATGTATAAGCTTAAAACAATCTGGAGGGTTCAACAAGACTGCAGCATTGTATTAGTTTTAAGAATCAAAGAGATTATTTATCAATGTATAAAAGTGTTTTTAGTTTGATGACAATAAAAAATATTCATATAACAAATGAGCATGTATAGATCTCACATCTGCTGTCTCTACAGTCCTGCCACAAACATCCTTAGCCTCGTGTGTGCAGCAGTGCTTTGTGTGGGAGGAAGTTAAACGCCCTCTCTGCCATCTTTACTAAAGCTGATTACACACTGAGGCACAAATGCACCTAATAAAAATATGTATATTCATTTCAGTGTTCGAAATTAGGTAAACTCTACCTTAGATTTGTAGTGCTAAAACATCAAACTGTGTATTCAGTCAAATCGTGTGGAGGAGGAGATGAGTGATGACTTCTTGAATGATGATGAAACCTTTCAGGGGCCAAGATGCTCAGTGATGTCTTTCTAATAACTAAAACAAGACAAATTAAAGCAAAGAGAAATGATGTCTTCTTGTAAACCATGTCATGTACTCATCAACTGTGATCATGACCCCTTTGAAGGACTGTAATGTGTGTATTACCATCATACAACGATACATACAATCAGTGGTGTAGTCTACATTTTTGTAGTGGGTATATTGCAGTAAAGTTAGATTTAGGTTGGACGTTGGACACCGTGGAAGCTATGGAGCACGAATGTCCAACATAAAACTAACTTTACCGTGGTCGGTCCGTATACTGTGTTTAGAAACCAAAGTATACTGGTTAGTTAGTACAATGTAATTGTCAATTTATTTTGATTTTTAAGCATATTGAACATTTCCAAATTTCTCTGATGCTAATATTTAAATAAATGCACAACAAACTTTGTACAACAGTTTGCTTTGTATTAGAATAGAATAGAATAGAATAGAATAGAATAGAATAGAATAGACTAGAATAGAAACAGCCTTTATTGTCCCACGGATGGGAAATTCAAGTGTAACAGCAGCAACAGATAAAAAGATAAAAAGATTTCACACAAAAGTTCCTAAATGTTAAAACAATATATAAAGAAACGAGATAAACAATATCAATAATAATGTTCAATATGTGTTGGATCATTGATAAGGACAGACTATTGACAGCACAGTATTACAGACAGAGTGTGTGTTTTAGCAGAGGTCAGCATGTTTTTAATCTTTATTGAGTTTGTTGGGAGCAGTGATGGTTGTAGAGTCTAACAGCTGCTGGGAGGAAGGACCTGCGGTAACGCTCCTTTGTGCATTTAGGATGCAGTAATCTGTCACTGAACAAGCTCTCCAGTTCAGCAATAGCTTCATGCATGGGGTGGGAAACGTTGTTCAAAAAAAAAAAAAAAAACACGTTATAGAATTTATAAAACAGTATCAAATCAAAACACGTTCAAGTATTAAGTAGTAAGTACAGAAGTATTAATTATATACTAATAATTCACTGGATGAGCGAATGTAATAAACAAGCGCTGCACACAGATAGATTGTTACGGAAGCGTTTAGCTGCCATTTAACGTATCAATGACACATGCCTAATAATATGTCATGTACTGCATCACTGGGCACTTTAAAGTGGGTATACTGAAACTCTTAAGCTTGTCTAGTGGGTATACTCTGGCCGCGTATCACGTAGACTATACCACTGCATACAATCATGAAATTTGTCATCTGCCTTTGACCCATCACACGTGAGATACACCCAAGTGGAGCATCAGATCACATCAGATTGTTATTTTGGGAGGGAGATCAGAGGCCAGATGGACACCTCACACTCTCCTGTAGGGCCCTCTGCTGTCCTACTAGGAGAGTCAGTGCTGTTGTGAGTTTGGTCTGAAAGCAACTTTAGATACGCTGCAGGTGTCGTTGCTCAAAATGCCAGGATGTAGTTTGTTTTATTTTATTGCATGTATTTATTTTTGTAGGGCACTGTATTCGAACAAGCTAAGCAATCATCTTGGTTTCAGTTGGCCATAATGGTCATAATGTTATGGCTGGTGACAAATGAACATTTTGCTGCTTGATTAGCTTTTAAAAAACAAAATAGACTTTAGATTTCTGTGATTGACTCTATTTCATATATTCTTATTGATTACCACACCATGAAAGGACGACAATCATTCCCATCGTGGTCTGTGTGTGTGTGTTCGGCTGTTTATGTGTTAGCAAAATATCTCCCCTGGATGTATTTTATTGAAACTCTCAGAAAGTAATCACATATTTATAACTTTTGGAGTCAACCTAATTCATGATGGATGCCACTAATTGACCTCTACTTGACCCTAGTAAACACCAGAATGGCTGTAGTGGTGCCATTTCTGCAGATATTCAGCTAAAATTAGTGTGGTAGTAGCTGAGAGTCATCCCCATCACATCATTTGTGTGCTAACAGATTGTGTGAGATGTTTCTTTAAAGCTGCAAGGAGCATTTTAAAGATGAAATAAGATAAAATAAGATAAGTAAAACTTTATTGATCCTGCAGGAAATTGTTGTGCCAGAGTTTCAGTACAAAGGAACAAGGAATCACACAAGATACAAAAAATAACAGAGAATATAAAAATACCAACAATTAAGTTCTAAAACAGGTGCAGACAGAAACATTAAAGAGTTTATTGTGGTGCAGGATTAATTTTATTGCCCTATGTGTAGAAAAGGGGGAGGAGTTGAAAAGTTTGATAGCCACAGGGAGGAAGGACTTCCTGTTCTGTGCAGCACCACGTGGTCTCAGTCTGCGAAGGTGCTGCAGTAAGAGTCCAGTGTGTCATGCAGATGACCTGACTGAAAAATGTTGGATTGTATACCTGGATTATTGAGCATGGACTTTGTCAGCTCATGATGAGTTTATTGAATCTGTTGGCATCCGCTTTCTTCACCCTGCTGCTAATAAGGAGTGCTACTTATTGAATTAGTTTGTAGATTTAGATTAAAATCTTGCCAATTATGCTAAAAAAACCCATCTTTAAATAAAATGCTTCCACAAAATTTTAAAATTTTGACAGTATCATTAAATATTTAGATAAGACCCAGAAAGGGCTCCGGTCAGGATTCAGCAACTTTCTTGCTGAGAGGTGACAGCTCTACCAACTGCAACACTGTAATAATAATAATAATCAATCAAATATTTAACAGAAAAAAAATAGTTTTTATCTTCTTTAAACAAAGAGAGAAGGGCTATATAATCCTAGAGATAATGGCGACCACAATATTATTGTTGATAAAGGTGAAGACAATCACAGTTGCAATAAATCCACAAGTGTGAAAGTGTGAAAAGTTAATGAAGACCCTTTTCTCTTCACATGCACAATGTAGTCTTCATCAGAGTGTAACTGGTTTTACAGTCAGATTTATGAGGTGGGAGAGCTTTAATGGCATGGCACGCTGCCACTTCATTCATTTGCATAAAATGTGCTGAAACGTCACAAATCCAGTAAATGGACATAGATTATCAGCATCCACACAGTGGTTCAGCTCAGGATAAACCCCCATCTGCATCCAAGTTGTAAACTTTGAGTATTAACCAGAAAGCATTCCTGAAAATATATTTTTATTCTAATTTGGCCAAATGAATTATGTGGCAAATGTGGCATCTCATTCAGATCGAGGTTTTTCAGCAGCAGCTTCTGGAGCTTCTCTTCAAGCACTGAAAGTTTCCCCTTTTCCTTTCTCCTCCAGTTGCTCTCACCGTTATGATTTTCCATTGATTTTAATTAAGACTTGCTCAGCGGGACAAAATTCCAGCCAGATTACTGCGTAAGAACAAGATGATCGGCACATTTTTCCCCCCTGGCCAAACAGATACAGACGGCTGCAGTGAAAAGTGGAGTTACACAACCATTTCTTGATGAACATTAAATGTAGCAACAAGACTGAGATGAGTTTTCTCCACTCTGTTGTAAATAATTTTAAGATTAGGCAGATAAATCATTATTTTAAAATTGTGATGTAAAATCCTGAATTACTCCTCTATTATTTTTATTATATAGTATTTGTGACACAGCTTTGCATAAAAGCCTTTTATTTATTTGCTTCACTTTTATCCAATTTGCAATTAATCAGTTTATATACATTAAAAAATTCTGCATCAATTTCACACAAGCCAAAGTTTCCCTAAAACATAAAAAAAGGAGAAGACAGAAAGACAAAGTTGTCCTTAAAAAGTGCTGCATCTCTCTGTGACCTCGTTTGTTTCAGTTGAGGAGCTGTCAAAGTCAATTAGACCCTGAGTTGTAAATGCCGCTCATTACCAGAAGGGAAACTGCTTTTCCAAAGCACTGGCAAAGACAGAAATAAAAACATATGATGAGAATCCAGGTATAAAACGTTGATCTGACAATACAACGTTGAGACAGGAACAGATGAAACTTTTTTGTTTGTTTCTGCTTCTGGAACTGACTCACTGTATGTTTGCACTGTGCGTCATGAGTCGATCCGTTTTCTAAGAAGAGACGTTTCTGTTGTGCAGTTGAAGTGAAAGTGGAACTCTCTCTCCTGGACAAAGAAAAAGAGGTGGACGGCCTGTCGCCCAACGGAAAAGCCAGTCCCTTTGCTGACTGCAGACCTAACGGGGCCCTGGGACACGGCTCTGATGACGACTCCACACCGCTCACACTCGGCCACAAATCGCGTGACTACGTGGAGGCCTCCGTGTGTCACGTTAAAGACATGGAAAACGGACAGTAAGGAGTTCAACGCCTCCCACTCAAACACACAAAACATAAATTCACACTTATATAAACTGCAGTGAGCTATTGATTCACAAACACTATTTTATATATTTTATCATAAAATTTACAAGTTTGCAATCTTTGGAATTTGGTCTAGTATACTGTATATACTAGAGCAAATTATGCTTGTAAGCATATAAAGAAGGACCTGCAGTATTCAAACATTAAAAATCCTTGTATTATTGTAGACACTGTGGTTGGACTGTCCAGCAGAGACAGACAGACTGGGTTGTAAAATGTCCCTCACAGCTCAGCCTACAGTAAAAACAGCTGACACTTATGGAGCAATAAGAAAACTCCAATTAAACAAATAAAGGTCCAAATTAAAGATGTTTATTTCCTGAACAGTAAGGTATTGCCTTCTTTAAAACAGCTAAATTACTTTTGCATCAACAGATGCTTGTTTTAATGTTGGTATGTTTTCATGGGGGCCGAGATGGTGTAGAGGCAGGGCAGCCGGCTTGGGACCCGAAAGTCCCAGGTTCGATCTCCAGTCAGTCACTGCACATCACATGGCGTCCCTGGGCAGCACGCCTCATCCCCAAAATGCCCCCCGGGCGCTTCCAATAGCTGCCCACTGCACCACCTGGTGGTGGATGGGTTAAATGCAGAGACTAATTTCGCCATGTATGGAAACATACAGTGCTGACATTATTATTATTATTATTATTATTATTATACTGCATTTGTTATTTGTGCAGCGTATAATGTCAAACATAAAAGTTTGTCTGCTAATATTCTAATTTAAAAGCAACTAACTTTTAAATGTTGAGGAAATTCTGAAATGTTTGTTTGAAATTAGGCGCTCGTTTTTAATTTGCTCGCAGCACTTTCTGGATTTCTACATTGACATTTTAGCGTGAAAGCAGTTTCTCAGCATAGAATTTAAAAAGTAGGACTTCAGAAAAACCTCTTTGTGTGGAACGAGACTTCAAACCTATAATAACTGCATTTTCCACTGAATCTAAGTCCGAGCGCTTTGTGCTGAGAAAGCTGCATTTGAGAAGCTGAAAGAAGCAGAACATTAGCTAAAAGTAACCAAAAGCTAGAAACTGAAAGCAGTAAAAGATTTGCTATAATTAGCAAAAGGCTAGCTACAAGCTAAAAGTAGCAGAGCAGTCACTAAAAGCTCAAAGCAACTGCTTTGAAATGATTTGTTAATCCTTGTGTGCAGCATGAATCATTTTACTTTTCATCAGCACAAAGTTTAAAATGATCAGTGATGAAATGAGGGTGAATTAGTGCACAGAGTATCAAGTCTTGATGTCATCTATTTAGGCGAGCTGCTCCAGTACTGTATAGTATTGTCCATCGTTTATAGCAGGGATTAGCGCCCCCCACCCCACCCCAATAAGTGAAAATCTGCATAGTACTGATGTTATATTTATTTTAGTATTTATATATATATTAAAGCTTTAGAAACTATTCCCACAATCTTGCAATGCTCTTAAACCTATTTAATTTTAACAACATACATATGTGTAGCTACGAAATTTTACTCACCAGCTCTGCAGAACAACAACAGCTCAGTTCCGCTCAGTTCAGGTCCAACTTGGGTCTGTTTCGGCGGACCTACCCTGCCCGGTTCTAGTCGATTCTCTGGCTCGGGGTAGTAACGGTGAGCTCTGGAGAGAACGCCATACCTACGGATGGCGCATCCCCGCTCGGAAGTTCTCGTGGGCTAGCAAGCAGCTCTCAGATTGACCGATGAGTCTGGAGGTCCGGTTTTGCTCTGGGTCTGATCTGGCTCTGTGCAGCCTTTGAACACAGAAAAGTATTTGGGGGCTGGACCTTTGGATGGAAAGCGCAGGACCAGACGGTGGTCCATTTGAGTCTAAATCTGGATGAAAAAGTCTCAGTGGGCTCCAAAGAGAACATCGGACCTACGGTGGGGCATCTCCCGCTCGGAAGTCCTCATGGGCTGGCCAGAAGCTCTCAGATTCACAGATGAGTCTGGAGGTCCAGTTCTGCTCTGGTTCTAGTGAGTTCTGTGCAGCTCTCTGCATCCACTGGGTGCCGAAATCACTGTATGAATAAGGACCGCACATTTTTCGATCAGATCAAAACTTTCTCTCTAGTTTTTCAGCAGAGGGCAACGGGGCTTCTGAGCGGGGCACTGTTGGCTTCTGGGAAATGTAGTCGTTATGAACAGGGGATACAGTATAGGCTTCCTCAGAGAAAACTACAAAATGGCAGCGCCAGACCAAAGTATTTTATTTTTCGTTAACGTTTTACTGTATAGTATCCCGTACTGTCCCAATCATGTGAGTAATGTTAAAGTTGACAATCACGTGCCATGTAAAGTTTTTTCTGTGTTAAATCTTACATTGAAAAACTGCGAAAGAGCAAGTCCGCAAAAGTCAAACTGCAAAGTACTACTGTAGTTCTTTTCTATTCTCTATACTGATTGGAGCATAAACCTCCACCTTGTTCTTGTGTTTGGCGCAGAATGAGGGAGGTTGACCTGGGATGTGGCAGAGCTTTGTTGATCAAAGAACACGGAGAGTTTTCAGCTATGGGCCACAAATGTTCACATTATGGAGCCCCCCTGGTTAAAGGTGAGTCAAATACTTATGTTTAAGATTGACGCTATTAAAAAGACAATATAGCATATAATTTTTTGTCCTTCCAGGTGTGCTATCCAAAGGACATGTGCGATGTCCCTGGCACGGTGCCTGTTTCAACATTTCAACAGGAGACATCGAGGACTTTCCAGGTCTGGACGGTCTCCCTACCTTCCAGGTGAACGTCCTTACTGGCGCTGTCTCATATCACGTTTCCTGCTGAATCGTGTCTTTAAGCAGCATCAAGCAGTGAACACATCAGTCATGTTTGTTCCAGGTCAGAGTGGAAAAGGACAAGGTGATCATTCGTGCAAACAAGCAAGTAAGAGGAAATAAAAAAGCTGTCAAGGATTTATATGCAAAAGTAAGCAAACCTGGTGAGGTTCTGGTGCTTTATAAAATGTTTCCAGGCACTTCAGTCACAGAAAAGACCTAAACCTATGGCCCGATGTTCAGCAGTCATCAACTCCAGCTCAGGCTTCAGTCATGTGCTCATCATTGGCTCAGGTTGGTGCGTTTCTTTAGTTTCCTTCACTCAAGAGAAATGTTGTCTTTAATTTCTTACAACCGCCTCGTAATTATGACTTTCCAGTGACACTTTTTGTTGTCAGGTCCAGCAGGTTTGGTGTGTGCAGAGACACTGAGGCAGGAGGGCTTCACTGATCGCATTGTGATGTGCACCATGGACAGACATCCTCCATACGACAGGCCTAAACTGAGTAAGGTTTGTACACAGACTCAGATTCTATACAGTGAGACCGAACTCCTGGAGCCGACAGGCTAATGTAACAAAACTAAGAGCTCTGCGGAGAACGACGACTCATTTTACAGCTGCAAAACAGAGGAAATGCTGAAATAAACATAAAAAATGTACTCACCCTGCCACTAAAAGTTTATCCAACTGCTTGCTATCATCAACACAGAAAATAATTAACTTGCTGCAGGCAATCCATCATTAAAGATAAAACAATCAACAAGACTTTATTTTTTGCTAAACTTCAGTGTGAATGCTGAGTGCTCACTGACTGCTGGAAAATTAAAAGTAGTGAATTTCAAAGAGAACAATGTTTTTAAAAAGACTTCAGTGTTTTTTATGGGGACAACCTCTGCAAAGATATATATAAAAAATGAGCAACGCACTAGTTAAAAGTAACTGAACGCTGGGTAAAAGCTAAAAGAAGCACCTAAACACCATAAGTAGCAAAAGGTAGCTAAAAATTTGAAAAATGTAAGTGGCAAAAAGTTAGTTGGAAGCTAAAAGTAACAAAATAATTAGCTCAAGGTATGTAACGGCTTGTTAAATCTTATCTTAGCTCGAAACTTAAGGTAGAACAAGAAAAGCTTAAAGCTAAAAATGGCAAAATGGTAGCTAAAAATTAAAAGTAGTGTTAAAAGCAAAAACAAAGTTAGTACGTTGAAGCCGATTCCAAAGAGAACAAGTTTTCTGAAGGAACTCAAAAGCTCTCATTGCATTACACAGGAAACATTTATATATTAAGAAAACTCATTTGAAATGTAGAAAAAAGACAAAAATATCTTATCGCCAATCCTTGAAATGAGCTCAACGTTTTGATATGGCTAAACTGGCACAAATTATGCAGAAATAGTTTGACTGCAAATTAAACACAGGAAGAAAAATAATAAAAAAGAAAACAATGGAATGGATGCTGACATTCACAAAAAAATCATTTGTGTTCACATCAGACAGAACAAAGCCTAAATGTGTGAACCAGATTGGTTTTAGTTTGAGACTTGGTTTCATATTTACTCATCTTTAACTTGCCTGCCCTCAGTCTTTAGAGAGCACAGCAGAGCAGCTGAGGCTGCGCTCCCGGGACTTCCTGCAGGACCACGACATTGAACTGTTCACGGAGAAAGAGGTGAGAGTCCTCTGAAGCTGCTGGTAATGGTAACGCTGATTTAACAGACTAATAGCATTGTTTTTGTTTTTAATACTTTCACTAAAATCCAACTTATGTGACTCTGCAAGTCTGCAATACTTGTTTTAGGTTGTAGCCGTGGATGTTAAGGGTCGAATGGTGATGTTCGAAGACGGCTTGAGGATGGAGTACAGGAAACTTTTTATTGCCACAGGCAGCAAGTAAGACAAATCATTTATCACGTGTGACAGTTAAGCAGAAGAGACTGTAAATTGTATCTAAATGCTTTAATTTTATTGTAACAGACCAAAACCAATGAGCTACAAGGGTAAAGACGTCAGGAATGTGTTTCATCTCCAGACACCGGAGGATGCAAACAGCATAGCAAAGCTGGCCAACAACAAGAATGCTGTGGTTGTTGGGACGTCGTTTGTTGGTGAGACAAAGACACATCCAAATCTGAACCTAAATCTAATTAAAAATGATAAAGAGACAACAAATATAAGGTTAAAACAGATTTTTTTTTTTTTTTACTTCGTTGCTTTGTTGCTTTGATTCATGGAAACACTTGTCCCTCATTGCAGTCCCTGCTCACATCTGTGTAATGAGCCCTGGCAACCTGTCAAACCAGTCCAAGAAAAGTCTGAAAATTAAACTAGTATTCCATTGACCTTAAAATTACCCAGTGTCAGACAAGTTCAGCCTCTGTTGCTTTCACTGGACAAAAGTCAGATCCATCAGGGTCCATTTTCACAGACTAGAAGTTAGAAGATCTAAGGTTCAAGGTCCTTTATTGCCATTTTTGGTGCATTGGTTCATGAGGTGGAACAAAATTGTGCACTCAAGGTCCCAGTTGCACCCAAAAATAGCAAATATATACAGTATTAAAAATAAACAGTATACAAGGATCTAAGATATATGCTAAACAATAATATGTATTAAACAGCAGCCTGAACATGAGTCTGTTGTGAGCAGATGGGTATGAATACAACAGCTTATGGGTAAGAAATCAGCAGCATGGATAATCAGCAGCACAGGTAAAGTGTCAAATCTCCATTTAAAGTGGAATTATAGTGATTATTCTGGTTAGAGATTCATGAGTCTAACAGCCTCAGGGTAGAAGCTGTTCTTCAGTCTAGTGGTTCTTCACTTAATGCTACTCAACCTCCTTCCTGAGGGGAGCAGGGCAAAAAGTGTGTGTGCTGGGTGAGTGGGGTCCTTCATGATGCAGGTGACCCTCTTCCTGCATCTGGAGGTGTAGATGTCTGTGATGGTGGGGAGGCTGACTCCAACAGACTTCTGTGCAGCCTTCACTACTCTCTGCAAAGCTTTTCTTTCTGCAGCTGTGCAGCCCCTGTGCCACATGTTGATGCTGGAGAACTCATGTCTCAAAACTCAAAGTCTGTTTTTTTTTACCTTAGAGAAACCCTAGTCTAAATTTGTTTATTTTATTTTAACAGTTTTTCTGTAGTGGCTCACCTCTTTGGTTAACCTCAGGTATCTTGTGTAACGTTAGGGTTGTGTCTTGGTTGTGTTGGCAGGAATGGAGGTGGCTGCAGCTCTGACTGATAAGGCCCACTCAGTGTCTGTCATCGGGATCGAGCTCGTTCCCTTTAAAAAAGCTCTCGGGGAGAAAGTAGGGAAAGTCATAATGAAGGTAAAGTCACTCTCCAGGGAAGTGAAGCTTTTTGGATCATGATGCACCTCCACATTACCGTCATCAACATTCTCTGTGAGAGGCACACGCCGACTTAAAATTCAAGTCAGATTATTTATTTCTGATGGCCAGTGGAGCTCCTGCAGATTTTTTCATTGGCAACAATTGATGACACAGTTTGCATGGAAAAAAAAGCAGCCTTGAACTCTGCCTTGTGGTTTTCCTGTGTTTGTGTTTGCAGCTGTTTGAGACGAACAGGGTGAAGTTTTACATGCTGAACGAGGTGTCAGAGATGATTGGCCATCATGGACAGGTATTCAGAAAGTGAGGGAAACAGCAACATGTTGCTTCAGACGCACTTTTCTCTCTTCTTTGGTATGTGGTGAAAATCAGACAAGAAACACAATCGTTAACTGAAAGAACACCACGTTAAAGAATGAATAAAATAATCTTGGAGTGATTCTGCTCTGTATAAGTAACAAATTAAAATATTTATTGAGTTTAAATGTAAAATTGTCTCATTAAGAGTGTATTTGGAGCTTGAGCAGGTTTTACTAATTTAAATGTGCGTTTGAATTAATTCCTTACAATACAGAGTTCATGAGACGTTAGGCGATGCACAGATAAAAACATTTAAATGAACTTATATTTTTCAGTCCAGTTTAGTTGTATGTTCTCAAATGACATGAAAGAGCTCAGAAGAATCATTTTAACTTATGTTCATGTGACGACTCTACCAACCAACATATTGTGGCAATAATGTTTAAAAATTAGCCTAAATGTTTATAATTTTGAATTACTTGATTCAATACTAAAGAAAATGCAGGTGCATGAAATCATGGCCTTCTTGGTCCGTCTGTTTTTTGCACAAAGACTTTTCTGAAGATGCACAAAATCTTTTCAGCTGGTTTGATTTTTATCAGTCCTGTATCACCTTTATAAAACTAGATGTAGAAACCAGTAAAAACACTTCAAAGAGATCCTTCACAGACTTATTATGTCAGTAAAACGTGTTACTAAAGCATGCAGAAAACTGAGTTTATTAAAAGTTTGAGTTCCTTTTATTTGTCTGCCCCGCAGCTGAAAGAGGTTGTGCTCAAGAGCGGGAAAGTCCTGCGGGCAGATGTGTGCGTCATCGGAGCAGGTGAAGACAAACAGACAAATGATCCGTCTTTCAGGTGTTCCTGTCACTCGGCTTCATGTTTAACCTGCTTTCATGTCTGTTGTTCTGCAGGAAGTGTTCCCGCCACCAGCTTTTTAAAGCAGAGCGGTATTCACATGGACTCCAAGGGCTTCATTGTTGTGAACAAGGTTCTGTACAAACCCCGAGACCTGCGGGAAAATGTTTTTTATCACATTTCATTTTCTCCCTCTCAACTTTTTCTGATCTGCAGACAATGCAGACAAACGTTGACGGGGTCTTTGCTGGAGGAGATGTGGCGATGTTTCCTTTCCCGCCACGCAACAACAAGAAGGTGAACATCCCTCACTGGCAGATGGCCCACGTGCACGGTGAGTGTGCCACAGCTTCAGGCTGCAGGCTTAAGGCAGGTGTACACTGTAAAGTGCTCAAAGATGAATTAGTTTCCCTTTCTTATGTTCATGATGGCTGACAGGCAGGGTGGCAGCTCTCAGCATGATGGGCAGAACCACTGAGATCCAAACTGTGCCTTACTTCTGGTCGGCCATGTTTGGGAAGACCATTCGCTATGCAGGTGGGGGAGACTTTGTTTATGTATGTAACTTCAAAATGAAACACCTGGAAAAAATTATATCATTTCTGGAAAATGTTTGTTCAGTTGTCCTAGTATACATATAAAAAATATATATTTTAAACTCTTCTGGGGTGTAAAGCATAAATATATTGTTGCCTTTGTTGCATTTTCCAAATGAAGTAAAGGAAAATAGCAAATTTATCTTGCAATTTTCATTTTTAAAACAAATCCCTGCAGAAGTTTAACAATGCATAGGAGGAACGTTTGCAGTCCTTAAGTAGTTGTTGCAGCTGACATGTTTACATGGAACAGAATTAGAAAAATACCAGTTGGAAAACAAGAAAAGAATATGAAATTTCTTAAAGAATGTAACTGAACTCAGCATGAGTCCAAAGTTGTTCATCATTATCAGTTACTTGCGTCTGAAGCACGTAGTTAATACAAATATAATGAGAAGTGTTGGAGAAAAATGTTCTCGCTTTATCTCACTTACTCAAAACGAGCTACACTCATGACATGAGATTTAAACTGTTTTTACTTGCAAGGACAGATTTTCAGGACAGGTTACACAGATACACAAGAGGTACACACATGAAGCCCAGTCACAAGAATCTGCCACGAGCCGTCTGTGAAGTTTGGTTTTATATCAGTTCAGCCAATCTCACGGTTTCTGAGTGCCAGCTGCACGCTGTAGCCTCCCAGCTCCTCATCCAGCTCTCTGCTACCCAAACTTATGGTTCCTGGGCAGAGTTATTCTCTGCCATAGTAGTTTAGTATCCAAAAACTGTGACCAAAAATTCCCTAACAGGAAAGCTGTAAGACTAAAACATGCAGGTAGAGCCAGACGTCAAAGGTTGAGAAGATGACACAAGCAGTAAAAATAAATATAGGCAGGAATATAAGAATTCATGCTAAAGTACATGAGATGAGCTAACATAAAAGCTCAGTTTGAACCATCATTCAACACAAGTATATAAGTCACTGTTGGCTTCAGAGAAGAGATAAGACTGTGGCTGAATCACCAAACTCAAACAAAACGATGATGTTGGATCTTTTATCCAATAAAATGTTGTCAAGAATTTTTTCCCAACCTTATTGTCAATATGGAGTTGTGTGTTATTAAACATGCAACTCTTTTTGCCATACAAAAGGGGGCTTTTGATTATTTCCTGTTTCTCCCCCGTGTCATTCTCATTGTATTTCTTCAGTCAGTCCTGCTCCTCATCTCACAACTGCTCCTCGCATTAGTCTCAGCTGTCATCACTCGTCTCATCACTCCCTGCCTATTTTACCTCCTAGTTTTTATTCTAGCTTCAGTCTATCGTACTGGTTGCTACCTGTCTTCATGTCTTCCTGTCTATTCCCTACATGATGGTGATCTTTACTTTCCTCATTGTATTCGCCTGCTGCCACGTCAGCTTTTTATTTTAGTTATAAAATTCCTTATTTTGTGCACCAAATCTTTCAGTTCAGTCTGCACCATTGGGTCCTAATTGCCACCTCCTGACAACAATAACAAACACACAAAGTTTGTTTTCTCAGTCATCCAGGTATATAACTTCAGGGGTATCTGAGGCAGGCTTGAAACACAAGAGTCAGGGTGGCTTCTGGGTAATACCAGATGGCTAGGCCTCAGACTGACGAAGCCTCTTGGACGAGGGGCGAAACGTTTCTTTTTAACAAAAAAAACGAAGTCCAGATGACATGATTCAACCTTTTTTGTTAATAACAAACACACTTTTAATCAGTGATGAGTAGTTTTTCTAAGACACAGTGATGGTGCAGTGGTCACACTTTCCTTCTGGAAAGAGACGTGAACTCAGAGACAAGACAAGAATACATCCTGGATCTATGGATCCCATCAAACATTTAGAATGGAAAATGGGTGAAAGTCCAATTAAAGGCTGATAACTATAATGAAAAAGCTGCAACCCAATATACGTTTATGATTTAATTTTATTTCCTTATAGTTGTCATTTTGTTTTGCTTGATAAAAAAAGTAACCTCACATCACAACTTTATTTAAATTTTACTTTTTATTTCATGATCAAGGCTATTTAAACAATTGTATCTGAGTCAGATATAATAGTGTGAGGCAGACGTTCAATGGGTTAAACACTTTGATAACAGTTTATCTGTTTTAAATTGTGCTCTACAAATAAAGATGACTTGACTTGACTTAAACAGCAGTCTGTGAACGGTTGTTACTTTAAAATGATCAACCTTTTATATTTACATCAAAATAAGTCAAGTTTAGAAAGCCATTCTTGTTTTTCTTTTGTCGTGAAGGTTACGGTGATGGATTTGATGATGTCATTATTCAAGGAGATCTGGATGAACTGAGATTTGTTGCATTTTATACCAGGTAACACATTTATTCATTAACCCAGAGAGCTAATTCTGTCTCTTGTTGTAAATAGTTATCTTTTTCATTAAACTTGACCCTCTTTATTCTGCAGGAGTGAGGAGGTTGTCGCTGTCGCCAGCATGAACTATGACCCCATCGTGTCCCGAGTGGCAGAGGTCCTGCGATCCGGAAAGACCATTAAGAAGCGAGACGTGGAGTGAGTTTTCAGCTGAGATGTATTTATAAAAATGTTAAAACTCATGAAGATACTGGATTTAAAGTTTGTTTTCTAACAGAGAAAAAAAGATGCAGAACTTAAACAAATATCTGCAAAGTTTATGGTATTTTAAAGACATTGTGCAGCATCTGCCAGGTGCTAGCAAGAATGCACGAGGGATTTGCACTCATGTGACATCACTCTTTTTATTTGAACGCACCTCATTTTTCCAACAACTTGTTTCTCCTTAAACACACCGGAACAACCTGAGACTCGTGGTATCAGTTTCACAGCCATCAGCACAGACTTCAGTAGAGACGTCAACACAAACCTGTACAGGACATCAAACTTACTTCCATACACCAACCATTTTTAACAGAACACGTTAATCTTCCACAAATACAACATTATCCAGCATCCCTTGCAGCCCGACCAGTTTCTCTGGGATGCTACAATAGTTATAACGTAAAGGTGGCGTGATGCAGCAAACAGGTTGGGCTCATGGCTCGGGTCTTACTGTGAGATTGTTCTCACTGTGCGTGTGTGGAACATATAAAGCGAGTGCAGAAAATGGGTGCTGAATTGGCCTAAACATACACTAACACTAATCCTAAAGTTAAAAACATTCATTCATTCTTAATCCATTTGTTATATCCATCCTGTCTCGTTGCATAATTACCATTTTCATCATGTCTTCTTATGTCTTTTCCAAAAATGCACACATAAAAATGAAGGATGTTAGCACGGCTTGGCAAGTATGAAACAATATTGGCCTCTCCCTTCATTTTATGACTTGCAGGCAGCTGCAGCTTTATCCACACCCTCGTGAAGTGAACTTGTCTTCTGCATTCTGTGTTGCAGGACTGGAGACATATCCTGGTTGATTGACAAAGGCGCTCAATGACTTCACATCTAAAGTTCCCGCAAGATGGACTAAAGTCTACTGGACACCTCAGTATGGACACATTTGGTGCTGAGACACTGAGCAGCTAAAACATTTTACTTACACACACACAGGCACATGACTGTGTCTACCAGAGACACTGACCACAGGACAACAGCTCGTTTTGTTGCTGGAAGACTCTTAAACGTGACAAACTGACCCGAACACGGTGCCAATCGCTGTGTGGGCAGGTTTGAATGTTTCAAAGCAATATTGGTTTCAGCCTTTGTGCTGCTCCAAGTTGTATCTATGTACCCTTTGTTAATAAGAAGTCATGGATGGGCATTGGCATTTTTTTGTACCAATAACACTGTAAATACTAATAATCCTGAATGTAACATCATTTTATGTGACGGGGTGTGTGCTTGTATACAGACCTTAGAGCTGCATGGCATGACTTCATGTCGTAGAAATTCAAAATAAGCACCAAACCAGAGATTTAAACTAGGATGTGTTAAAAAAAATTTAATCTGCAACAAAAAAATCTCACTCAAGCATAAGCGTGAATGCAGCTAAAACAGTCACAAACACGTACAAACAGCTTTAATCTGAGACAGAACTTCAACGTACCTCCATTTAGTAGCTGCCTTGTTTGAAAGGTGCATAAATTCTTGTAACGATACTGATCGCTTGTGCAATAGTTGTTTTTGTTTTTTTAAACAAAGAGCAATAACTCTTCTAGATGAATGCAAAAGTAGCTTGAGGATGTTTTTACCTCCATATAGGGAAATCATTTGTTACTAACTCAGGGAACTGAGCTCTGTGGCCTGGACTGGCTGGTCCTTTTACACTCGTTGTTGCTTTAATATTGACCCCTGTGATTTCACAGGTTCTCTCGTTTTCTTTCAGCGGCGCTCTGTAACGCGCTCTGAAGCAGGTGTTTGATTACATCCTGGTGGACTAAAGCACCGATCAACTTTGATTCCTGACCCTCCAGTCAGTACAGTAACTTAAAAAAATAAGGTTTCTTCTTCCTACAAAGAGGACATATTTCAAACTAAACTTTGGAAATAAAAGTGATCCAACAACAAGAAGCCACTGCTGCTGCGTTTTTTTTTAATTTTTTTTTACATCATTTCACTTTTTGTGCACGTTTGACTTTTAGAGGGAAAGTCAGCAAAAATAAGAAGTTTCAAGTCAATTGAAGTCCACAAAATATGTTCTTTGAATCAAACCAACAGGTAGACAATAAAGAGAGGCCTACATTCCTTGATGGAATGCATATCGCTCGCCGCCTTTCATGTCAGTTTTAAACTAAGCTCAACTTAAGCAGAGAAAAAAAAACAGTTGTTGCCGATTTAGTAAAACTTTGAAAATATCTGTGCAATTTTATGCAATATAGTAGCCCCTCGCCATTTCACCGTTTGACTTTTGCGGACTCGCTCTTTCCCAGTTTTTCAAAGTATGGTACTGAAAGATTGTACACACATAAAATTAATTAATTAATTTAAAAAGCGCTGCCATTTTGTAGTTTTCCCCTCAATAAGCCAATACTGTATCACCAGTATAAAGGACTACATTACCCAGGCAAAGTTGCTTTATGTTGACATGGAGGGAAAGTTCTATGTCGTATAAGCTTCGCCCTTTAAGGCCTTCGCTTTAGTGGGTTTATCCCGTTATGCAGAGCATAAGCACTGAAAAAATTAGTCCACGCCCACCTGCTGTGTGGGCCCCACCCGGTCCGTATAAATTACGTTAAGAGCGGGAAATCGGCTCCCATTTTTTCTTCAGCGAGCTAATATAGCACTGTCAGAAGAACAAAGAAGATAAATTGTGTAAATGACCAACCTTTGCGAAAGATGCTTGGCCCGGCAGTCGACCTCCGGTCGTCCGGTGAGTTCTCCTCCCCGAGGAGAAGATGACAGCAGTCTTATTCCAAGGTAAGCGTCGTGGAACATTTCCCAGTGACAGGTCACTACACGCTGGACAACGCCATCTTGTGGTTTTCCTCTTATCGCCGACCCTCGGGGCGAACCGGATGGTTCCTCCGGGGCAAGGCGTGCTCAGCTGCAGCCCCGCTGCTCTTCCCTCCTGGGGAGCGTAGTGTAGGTGGAGGGGGGCTGAGTGAATGCTCACCCCATCCCACCTCGTTTCGCATCGGCGATCACACCGCTCCCGGCCGACGGCGCCCTCAGGGGTTGCCCGGCGGAACCCAGGAGGAGGCTGACATGAAGGGACCCCCTTTTTTCTACGTCCCTCGCCTTTTCCCGCCAGTTCGGATGATCGGCGGAAAGGTTATTTTTCACTGGGCTCCACTCTGGCTCACCGTCTTGATCCATACGGCCTCGCGTTCCAACAGGACGTTCCACGGGCGAGGCCGCAGACGGTTCTTTCCTGGTAGATTAGAGGAGTCGGTCCCCAGTCCGCTCCCATCACCAGAGTTGAGGGATTCACTGAGCGGGGCTATTCCTCGGTAACCCCCCCC